CCGAGCAAAGATGATGCATTCAAAACAAGTCCAGTGAATTTCCTAAATGAGAGGACTCTCAAGGGTACCTTCTTTGGCAACTACAAACCCCGCACTGACATTCCCAAAGTTGTCGACCAATACATGAACAAGGTGAGTTCCTAACATCTCTTCCTTTAATCTTGTTTAACCCAAGCCACTCCCAAACACCCAAACAACCCAAAAATACTAACTTCACTCTTTCTTGATTCCAATAGGAGCTAGACCTGGAGAGACTGGAGAAGTTTGTAACTCACTCTGTGCCTTTCTCGTAGATCAACAAAGCATTTGAGTACATGCTATCCGGCCAAGGTCTCAGGTGCATGATTTACATGGAACATTAGACAATGGATCCACTGGTGTGACTCCAGCTCTTCTCAAAGCCAAAATCTCTTTTTTCCCTTTTATGGCCAAATAGTACTATGTTTTTCCTTTTTAAGTTTTCTCGGTTTTGTGGAGCGAATAAGCAGCGGTTTCAATATGGTGAATAGTGAACTTGGTGTGGTTTATAAATTATATATATATATGTCGTATTCCTCCATCTTGTCCTTTAACAGCTGGTATTTTTTTTAATGGATTTTTGTCTCTGAAACAGAAACTGGACACAAACGTTATCCAACATTTCCCTTTGTCCATGAACAGAATCCTAATTGAATCAGATCCACCGCCTCAAATTTGATTTTCAACTAAACAGGCTTTTCTTCCAATTCTATAAAAAGATCACTAAAGCTCCAAGTAACCCTTGTTGTCTTACTATCGCAAAATTCATTACCACCTCCTAGTTGTCAACACAAATTGGTCCTTTTCATTCGCTCTTGGATTAGTTAAAAATTGTCGTCAGCACTTGGATTAGTAATAAAATCTCATCCACACTTGGATTGGTCATCTTCATGCAAGCTTGGATTAGTCATAAGATCTCATCCATAAATTCTCATCAGCAGTTGGATTAATCATAAAATCTCATCCGCTCCACTTGGCTGGCCCCCTACACCTCATCATTGGTTAAGCAATCCAAATCATCTACAACAAAGCCGCGAAAGACAAAAAGAGTCACCGTCTTCTAATCTGCTCCTAACCAATATCCAAGAAGGAAATTGTTGACCTTAATTTTGATGTGTTAAAATTTAATAGAAATGTAAATTCATTTTTTTGCATTCCTTTTATTCCATTAATTAAATTTTTTAATTTTAATTTTGATGATAAAAGTTCTATTCAAAATGTGAAAGGGTTAATTTCAAAGATTGAGATGTGATTATTTAATTTCATCTTTGAAAAGTCAATTTTCAGAATCTATTATTATTATTGTTTCTCCAAAAATAATTAGCCAGTTTTAACCACGTGAACTTGGGAATAAAGCGTGTCACTTGCTTTGTTTAAAACAAGAAAACAGGATTCTTCAGATGATCTTTTTCCTTAACAATGGTCGACCTCCAACAGGATGGTTGGAAAAAACGTCTATGAAATAAATTGTGCTCTAGACGAAGTTGTAAAACAGAAGGTGGAGTTTTGCAAAATGAGTTACTAATTATCTTAGACACCTCCAAAGACTTTACAACCACAAAAGTATAATAAAAGTTATAAATCCTAAAATAAATGCACTATCTTAAAGTAATTAACCTAATATGAGATAAATAAAAGAAAATAACATGCCACAAAAATAACAGATTGTGCAGGATTACAAACGTTAATTTTAATTTCACAATCCATGATAATTAAACTAATTACTCGCAAATTTGAAATAAAAATAATTGAACTATTTCATAACTAAAACCGAAGGAGAATCTACAAAATAATTAAAGTTTAGAAACTTGTAAAATTAAATATTAACCTAGAAATTGAAATTAAACAAACTGCAAATCTAGCAGTTGCGCAAAAAGAAAGGAAAGAAGAAGGAAAGCAGAAGGAAAGCATTCAACCTATTTACATAAACAAATAACAAAGATGAATCCATAAGAGAAAGAAAAACTAACCAAATTAATAGGGCAGACTTATTTTCAAGGTTGAAACACTTCCAAATTCTTAAAAACTAATTGAAGTTGAAATCTTTGAGGAAAAATATGAAAAAGGATGGAAAAACCTAAACTAAAGCTATAAACAAGAACAAATCTTGCAAACTAATTTGGAAATTTTGCTGAAATCTAGAAGAAATAGACTGAAAGTTGTAAAAGCAGATGCGCCGAGTAGTTTGTGTAGGATATGCCGTCTATTTTGATTTTTTCCCCCTATTTTCCTCTTCTTCAATGCTGGGAAACCTCTTCCATGTTTTTCGGCCCTCTCTCACCATGACTGAGTAGTGGGGACTCCATGTCTAGTAGTTATTTGGCAGTTGACAATTTTCGATTCAATTTTATCTTCAATAAAACCCCAGTAATATTCTTCTTCGAAAAACCCTCAACTTTCTAATTTAAATTAAATTCAACCACCATAAACTAATTTATCTTCTGTCACCTAAAATCCAACCTCCTTAAAAATCTGTCTGGGCCACTAAATTCTAAATTAACCCAGCCCAATTCAACCTATAACCCAACTTAATGACTTTCCTTAAAAATTGGGCTTAATCTTAACACATGATCTTATCCCATTGGTTTATTTTTAGGTGTAAACAATTATGAAAAGAAGTAATTGCATTTTAATTTTGGAATTCTGTTTATAAGATTAAATATCACATCTAATTGTTGAATGAAATATATTTTCAAAAGAAATTGAGTTTCCTTCACAAAATTTTTCCAAAATGCATCTTTGTGTAGAAGGGTGTGAACCAAATAAAAGGGTTTTGAATTTTTAAGCTACTATATTTTAATTTCTTTTATATCCAAAAAAGTTCTAATACCAAGCATTAAATGCAGGAATTTAAAGGCTACGGTTTTTTATACCTATAGCACTCAACGAGAAAGTTCCAACACCAACTAAAAGGTTCAGCACTTTTGTAAATATTCAACACCAACAGTCAAGAAATTTAAAAGGGAGTCTGGAAACAAATTAAGATGGTTTGTAACTAAAGTTTGAAAGGCAAGTTTTACATTCTAAATCAAACTTAATTCTTTCTAAATTGAGGGCAATGGCTAGAATCTTGAATTGAGCATTCTTAGAGAATAAATAGAAGTCATTGGAGGCTAAATCATGTATAGAGAAAAGAAACAAGAGCCTTTATCTTTAAGAGAAAAAAAGTTACAGTTTTTCATAATTTTTGTGCTTAAAATTTTCATTTTGATTATCTATGATCATTGTCCATTCTCCACCTAAAATCTCAAACCCACCTTACTCCCAACCAAT